ATGATTCTATATGTAGCGTTTCCTCTTGCTCTGGTGTTATGTAGATGGTGCTAAGTATTAAAGCTGAACTCCAGGAAAATGTCAAAATATTGATATGAAATGTATATGAAGGTGTGCCTTCACCTGTGGAAGGATTGTTTTCCTCTCCATTCATTCCTGGGATTCATATAGCACCATCACCCAGTTGAGCCAGGTGGATGACGCTCAAAGAGCAACACCAGGAACTTTTTTTTTTCCTTGTAAACCTCACAATTCAAATAAGTTACCTCTAATGAAGAGTATGCTAACAGCTCCACAGCACTGCTGATTACTTTAGAAATAACCGTTTCATTTATCCCGGATATTACACGCATATTAACGCTCTTCTTCTGGTGCTGGGCCTTACAGTTCCGGCTCTTCTACAGGAATAATGTTCACTCTTCCCTCGTCCATTCACAAAACAAAAATAGAGCTTGCAGCATTTTTGCAGATTGCAGTGGACCGGAACACACGTTCTGGTGCAGGTGATTTCCCTGCGGGTGGGGAGAGTGGCTGCGGTGCCATTAACTTCAATGCACCACCATGCCCCCTTCCGCCACTGAACGCAGTAAGCCGGCCAGAATGCGATTTCAGTGCAACCGCTCTGGAATGCACTGTTTATGGTGTGAACCAGCCCTAAAGGCAGGTACTTGCACCAGGGGTGAACAAATATTTATGAAATTTAGAAGCCAGTCTGTCCAATCCAGGAGCCAGCAGGATTTTTTCAGGCGTTTTGCTCCATTGACAGCAACTAGACAAAAACCTCAAACGTTAGGCACCAGTTGTAATTGTTAAGGAGTATTGGCTACCTGGCTCCTGGGATTTATCCAGCCCTGACATACATTAGTTTCATCTAAAAATGAATCCATTTAATTATGTATTAGTTTGTGTTTTATATAACTGGCTCAGTTCTAAAAAAAAGTTTTCCAGGCATGCATCACTTTTTTTCTTTTCAGGCTGTTGTAACGGGAGATACGGTAGGACTGGCAGTTACAGTTTGGTTAGTGCAAGATAATTAGCCATTTTGTCCCGTAAACAATTAATATCACAATTGATCAATTGATCAGAGTTGGTGGGACCAAAAGGAGACGTTTGATTGAAGAATAAAAAAACAAAAACAAAGAGGGTGTAAGATGGCAGGGATAGGTAAGAAAATGAATCCCATACTAAATATGTCCAAGGAAGAACAGAAAAATGAATTGCTGGCTTAGTACTGTTGCGATTTACCACTTTCTCTTTTAAAGAAAAGGTTCACTTTTAGACAAAGTGGACTTAGCTTTTTTCCCCCCCTATCCTAACCCACTTCCTTCTCCGGAGATGTGTAGTTACCTCATTTAAACACCTGCATGGCCGCTGCCTCCATTGTTTACATCCAATGCAGCATGTCTCACTGCTACATACACTTCTACCGGTATGTGTCCCGATGCTGGAGACAGAGAAAGGGCCCCACAGAAGTGAGGAGCCAGAAAAGTAAGACTTGCGGTGCTGGATGTAAACGAATGGTAAAAAGGATAAGTGCACTTTTCCTTTTTAAAGGTAAAAATGTTTCAAGCAGAACCCTTAAAACAGCTGTTCTCAGCCATCTCTTCTGCTACTTGGCGCATTAAAACCTTTTTGGCATGTTGTTTTCAATGAAGGGTCCTCCTTTGAAGAGCCTGAATCATGATTTGTATATCCGATAGCAGGAAACATAGTTGCACTATTTTGATTTTGGTAACCGATACATTATGCTGACCACATTTATTAAAAATTTTATTTGATTAAGTTGAAGTGTTTGATCACGGTAAATCATATGGATCTTTTTGATAGCTCTACAAGTACTTTGTTTCCGTTTAGTAAAATCCTGTCCTGATGACCTCTAACTGTATCCGTGCTATCACATAGGGAGCTTGTTATCCCCCTATGTGATGGCAATAAAGGTAAGTGTAAAAAAAAAGTTACAAAAATAAAAGTCCGATAAAAAAAAACAACCGTTAAACTCCCCGCCCCCACGTACACCCACATACAAACGCAAACACGCGGCGGCTGCACTTAACATGGGAAAGCAGCGATTGCACTACACGTTACATATGTCCATAAACATCGGAGTAAGAGCAATGCTTCTAGTGCCATCGCTCACTATTAAAGGAGAACTATGAGATGAGTGAAAATCACTCATTCTCATAGTTCGAGCCGACGTGTGACAATGAAACTATCACACGTTGGCTCATTAGATTGGGAAGTAAGCGAGCACATATCGTCGCTCGCTCACTTCTCGATCATCTCTCTGCAGAGAGCAATGACTGTCAGTCACGGCTCCCCCACAAGGTTTCCCCGCTCTGATCCTCCAGGGCTGACTGTAGAAACGGACGGGGGAGGGCACAGCTGGCTCTGCCTCTAGATAGGACTCGCCGCTGCTCTTCCGCACAGCAGCCTGAAGGCAAGGTAAAAAAAATAGCGCATGCATCGGGGCATTCTGACAAGTACAAGTACTTGTCAAAATGCCCTGTATCTGTCCCGATACCGATGGCTAGTACCGGTATCGGGCCATCCGTAGTATTAATCACCACTGGGGTTTTTATTTTTTGCTATATAACAAAAAAGTACCCTAAATTTTGTTTAAAAAAAACGGTTTCCCCATGAAATGTTATGAAACATTTATTATCACCCCAATTTTTGGTAAAATATCAAATACGGTGTTACGTCGGGTAAATAGACACCAAACATGTCAACTACCACACCCAAAATTGGCATTTGGGGAAGCTTTAAAAGCTTTTACCGCTCATCAGTTTAGTGTTATCAGTAATTAATGGCTCTAACATGATTGCTCTCATTCCGATGTTTGCGGCGATATGTAACATGTGCAGCACAATAGGCGGAATCGTTGTTTTTGCACGTTGGCTCATGCGACGCATGTTTGCGCGTGTATGTGGGGGCGGGGACTTTTAAAAAAATTGTGTTATTCATCAAGCAAGGCATTTTTATATTTGCATTACTCCTACCCAAAGCCAGCCCACTGCTCGTCTCAGGGATAAGCAGTACGGAGGTAGGGTGCTGTTAAGGAAGGGGGGCAGGGAAGGCAAAATATAAGCAGACTAAACTGCAGCTTTAATATCATAGTAAATAAATCATTGGTTGCTATAACTATACAGTTGTTATATTCTGATGAGGCCATCATTGGGAAACATTCTAGGACTTTTCAGGTGCTAAGATCGATACTCAACATGTACACAGGCCCAGATTTCCCGCCAGGCCTCGGGGCAGCAGGGCACCTCGGGGCGGCAGCGGCGTGGAGTCCCCCGACGCCCGGAACATGCAGTTCCGGGTGGTAAGTTGTCTTCTACATTTAGTCCTGCTTTGGGAAGGCAGGACTAAATGTAGTGTGGGGAATCCGCTCGCACGTTAACAAGTGATTGCGGCGATGTCGCTGCAATCACTTGTAAAATGTGTGCTGCCGTCCGTCGTCCTGCCCCCCCACCTACCTCTCTCTGCTGGCTCTGTCTTCGGGACTCCGGCCGA